ACTGTACTTCCCCAACCAATGGGAACTCTCCAGGAGTCCAATATCCATATAAATGCAAATCTTAACATAATCATATCATCTCAATGGCTAGCTGGCGTCACCTTACAACCAAAAGTGCCATGCATCATATTACTTGGCTGTGGCTCTTAGCATCTGCCCCCTTCTGTTTAATTAAGCAACAGGCAATGTGGCTAGGGACTGTGTCTGTTAGGTATGTCCAATTCAACATATGGTTCTTACCCGTCATCGGAAAACTGACCTCTAGGAGTCAGCCTCCTGTCTTAGGTTGATACCACTGCAATTGAATCATACCCGTCACTGACTACCGGTCCAGTATATAGCCATACCTGTGGATAGGCCTATGCACCAGGGGGGGGGGGGTGAGGTTTTTTGCCTCACCTCTGTTGGCCCCCAAATGTGGCCTTGGTGCCGGTGGGGGGGTGAGGTTCTTAGCAGCCTGAATCTACCTCAAAGAACTTAATCTCAAGTGAAATAAAATCACAAATAATCAGCAAAATTCTTCATAACTTAGAGAAATGTTTATTTCATGCAAAGCTACATAATTTCCTATATTTTAACAACTAATCATATAAACATTTCAAAAATTCATTACATCACAATAAGTTACAATACTACAAAGTAGCTGCAAGTCAATAAATCTGTCAAATTCAAACTGAGAGAACATTATGCACAGATAAGGCCAATGATGCTAACTTACTTATAGATAGCACTTTGCAGCTTTTCCCAAATACATGTTTGAAATTGTACTGAGAATCTACATCTAAAGAGAAAAATAGTTCAATCTACAACCCACTGATCAGATAGGAAAACATCTGTCATTACATATCAGGTAATAATGACTGATTAAAATGAAATTTGGCATCATGCACCAAAAATGAACACAGTGAATGAACATTTTGAAAAATCATAATCAAATGCACATTTGAGAAATTTATCTTTTATTTCATCTAATCAACTGAATTAGAAGAAGGCAAAATAACAAGCACGTTATTAATGCAACATGGAAATTAGCCTTTTGGTATACTTTGCTTGGATATTGGTATATACAAAAACATACTGAAGAGATTGTGGGAATATTTCAAATCCACATTAGAGTACTGAAGCTTAGAATTTATTATCCTAAGGAAAAGGGTCTGGTCAGAACTCATTTGAGAAATAGTTTTAGACATTTTAAAAGCAAAACTACAATTACTTACAAAAACATTTATAAAAATTAAATACCATGAAGTAATAACATCAATATTAGAGCTCTTTTGTATTTTTCAATGCTATAATATATAAATATATGTTAGGTTAGAGTAATTTTAAAAGCAAGTCCACATATTCTCTACATTCTAAAATGAGAAAATCCTTCAAGTTGGTTTCAAAATATGGACAAAAACAAATCCATTGGATTGCTTTAAAAAATAAATACACAGTCTCTCCCCTACAACTTAATATGCTAAGTAGGGAAGACGCTAGTCACCATTCTTGTGATAAATACAGCTGTAAGTATATAGGTTGATAAGATTTATGTCAATAATATCAACTCTAAATAGTGCTGTATAGTTTAATAAATTATGACTTTACATGTCTGCCACAGTAAGCCACTCTTTCTGTTCCTTTGCACCAAGTACAGTAAAATTTTCCTTTCACAAAATGATTTTAGATGAAGATAACCACAAAAGAAAAGGTTTTTTTTTTTTGGGGGGGGTGCTAATTTTTCCCAAAGAATGTATTACAAACAAATGTCTTTTAGAACACCTTTGAAAGGAGAAAAATGCAAATAGTCTTTATTAAGAAATTTAAAATTATAGCAACACCTCAGTTTACCTCAATAGACAAATCTTTTGAAAATGGTGGGGGAAAATTTTTAGTTAAACCAGGCTAAGCACAGAAAGAATGTTCCCTTTGCAATAGAAAAAAATAGGATCAGACTCATGTCTGTCCTGCTAAGGGAGACGACTCATAAGGCCTGATTCTAGGAGCTGGAGAAGTGGGTTACACTGCCTAGTTTCCCAATCTTCTTGAAAAAGTCTCTGAGTTGAAGTACCCTACACAAAGGGGAATTCATATGGAAGATGCCTCTTATATTGTTTCAATTATCCTAAGGAAAGTTTTAATAATTTATATTATCTATGAATCACTTTTCATGAAAAAGGTCACAAGGTTCTTCATGTTTTGGGATTTTTAAATTTGGAAATCCATTTCTTATGCTAAAACTTACTGAAAACAATTCATTTTACTGAAGTGCTCTCCTTGGTGACCTAACAGACAACACACTGAGCCAGATTACTTCACATTTACATACAGATGTTGCTTAGCTATCTAGCAAAACCTGTTTCACTACTTTAAGTACAATACTGTTATTTCAAGTAGTGTGATTTGTAGTCAGAAGTAGTTCCTTTTGAGTGTACTGCTCATCAAAACAAATTTACACAAAAACAAATAGAAGAAAAATCTGTCAACACACTGAAAGTCATACTAGAAAGAGGTCTCAGAAAGGAAGACATAAATAATGAGAAAAGGAGGCAGAAAAAGACAAAACCCTAAATACATTTACTTCTTAATATTTAGGATTTAATATAATACGATCCATTATACTTTGGAGTTCAAGTATGCTAACATGTCTCAGGACAGATTTTGTCTCTTAGTGCAAAAATACACTTTCCCACTCAAATCACAAGTACAAAACTTAACCTTACTAAACAGTGTGAATCGTAATAGAGAGTTTATTTTTTTCTTTAATATAGYAATTCACATATCACAAGAACATTCTGTAAACTCATTAAAGGTATAAAAAATGAGGTGTGCTATTAAAGAAAAATGCAATTTTTTCATTAACATGCTGAAACATAATTTTAAAGAAACATACATTGACTTTTCCTTTACATTGATTTGGGTATACATTCTGCTTAAATTTTAGAACTGATGATCTAAACAAAAACTAGAGGCCAAAAACAAATAGCTTGGCAGCATTTATTTCTGAATGTTTGGATTATTGAATTGTTTGATTTATTCTTTTAAAAATCGAAAACCTTTAATGTTTTGATTTAACTATTACTACTTTTGTGAAGTGAGGGCCTTCTGTGTGATGCAATTATTGTAAAGCCCTTATTTTCATTTGGTAAGAGAGCCAATTTTAATAATTAGACTTTATCTCTTAAGAATATTTTTTTTACAAAATGCTCTATTGATAACATGTTATTTAAGTAGTAAAAAAAGTTAATTAGTTAATTACAGGTGATTAAGTTAAAAGTTAATTATAGGTGATTCATGAAAATTACAGATTATAATTACTTTCTGCAATGGTTACTTTGAATTACTGGCTTATAGAATAACCATACCTAATAACTATCTAAAATAATAATAATAATTTAGAAAATTCTAAACAGATATTTATTAACATGTAAGAAAGACATCAAAAAGTAATTGCCAGAGGGCTGGGGATATGGCTCAGTGGTAAAGCACTTGACTGGTATGCATGAGGCACTGGGTTCAATCCCAGAATACTAAAAAAAAAAAAAAAAAAAAAAAGTAATTGCCAGAAATACTTTTTTCAAGAATGTAAAGTAGATGAATTTGGTTGCAGTATTTTGCAACAGATGTCATTATATGTTAATAAGCTTCTCAAAATAGAAAAATGTGCCAGGCATGGTGGTGCACACCTGTAAGAGGTGTGGGAGGGTTGGGAGGCTGAGACAGGAGAATCACAAGTTCAAAGCCAGTCTCACTAATGGTGAGGCACTAAGCAACTCACTAAGACCCTGTCTCTAAATAAAATACAAAATAGGGCTGGGGATGTGGCTCAGTGGTCAAGTACCCCTGAGTTCAAACCTCAGTACCAAAAACAAAAACAAAAAGGAAAAAATTTTTGCAAATAGCAGGGGTTTTCTACACAAAGTGGTTTAAAAAAATATTAACTTAGACCTCCAGAAATGAACTGAGTCTTTAGGGGTTAAATCATTGTCTTCTGAACTCAAATTTACCCAGCAAAAGTAACTTTTGTATATGATTGTATACAAAATCCTATAAGATAAATTCTGCTTTAAAATTTGAATACTCTGGATCACTGAAACAACCATGAATTATTTTGGAAATAATTCAAAAGTCATAATTGAATATATACCATCTGCAAAGTATATGTGTATACATATATGCTTCAATTATTATAATGATAAAAATTTAATAGTAAAGGAAAGAAGTAACATTCCTTTATATATTCTTTATATAAGAATATATAAAGGAATGTTATAGGGTGCTATAAAAGATAGTATAATAGTAATTGGAAATTTTCTTTTTTGTTTCTACTTGTACAATAGCATCAGAATATCATGAAAGAACCTGATGAGAAACAACATTCTGCTAAGGAAAAATATTACAAAGTCAACCAAACACTAAATAATAAAACACAATTTTCATGGGACTTCTGATGAATTAGTCCAAAAAGTTTTTTTGGTGTTTTTTTTTTTCCGCTCTGTGGACTTGTGGTCTTCTGTGTAATAATGAGAAATCAGACCTCTTTCTGGAAAGATCATTTCCAGAAAGAGGTTGAATGGTAGCATTCAACACCTTCAAGCACCACTAGGAAAAATAACATAGCTAACAATTTGTTTTGTCTTTCTAAATTCCAGTGCATAATCATCAACTCAATTTCCTCACAATAGTTTTGTGAGGTAGATCTGTAGATAAACAGCAGTGTCATCTTCAATTACAAATGAAGAAATTGAGGCACTGAAAGGTCACATGATCTGCCTAAGGTAAATTCTAAAATTACAAATGGTATTAAATTACTGCTTCTGGCCTACTGCTCTCAGACCACACAGCACAATAAAAGGTATAGGTGTCCTCCCCAGGCGTGATGGCTAGTGCCTGTAATCTCAGAGGCTCAGAAGACTGAGGCAAGAGGATCACAAGTTCAAAGCCAGCCTTAGCAATGGCGAGGCACTAAACAACTCAGTGAGACCCTGTCTCTACATAAAATACAAAATAGGGCTGGGGATGTGGCTCAGTGGTTGAGTACCCCTGAGTTCAATTCCTGGTAACCCCTCCACCCCAAAAAAAGGTATAGGTATAGGTATCCTCAAATAAGCAGTCTCTATGACCTTCAATCAATAGTAAATATATCCACTGATAATTATTTTAAAGGGACCAAATATCAAAGATTATAAAAACACAAAGATTAAAAAAAATCAGATAATTAGGATGATGCACTATTTTTTTCAGTACCTGCATAGAACTGTCTTTAAAACATTACATGATAACACTCATTAAAGAGAGAAATGAAAATTTTAAATTTATGACTCAAGAAAAGATTAGCTTCAAGAAACAGAGCACATTATTAGGATGACCATATAATTCATCTTCAAATGGACACAGCTGAGAGTGAAAGTAATAATTACAAGGATAATAGGTATTAAACTGAAACTTGATCTGGGCAAGCTCAAGTATGGTCATCAAATATAGCATGGGATTTGAAATATTGTACAAATATTTCAGTGCCACAAAAACTTCTCTGCCAAGCATGTTACATTTAATCATGTTCACTTTGCAATAAAGCTATGATGTTTTAAAAGAAATATCTAACTTTGACTTAAACAAAAAGATTAAAACAAGCAATTGAAAATAATAAGCATGTTTAACCAACAAGTTATTATTTTACATTTTCATTCTAATTCAGTTTTCTGTTTTCTATAAACCACAATTTAAGTGCTAGCAATAAAAGTAAATGGATTCATTTCTTAACCTTTGAATAACCAGATTTTTCTTTTTAAAAAGTGTAAACAGGCAACTTTAAACATGAAAGAATTTTTGGAACTCTTTGGTTATTAAAAAAAAATAAAACTATTCACCATTAATGCTTAGAATGTCTCCTTCAATGGAATAATCAACACTGAAATCAATATACTAAATGCTAAAAGTAAAAATTTCTCTCTTAAACGAAATTGTTTTACAGAGGAAWACCAAAAGCATAAAAAATTCCATTTACTACAAGGACTGAAAGAATACTGTGTTACTTGATTAGAGTATACATCCTAAAGACACTAATGCTATCAGTTGAATTATAATTTTAGTTTACATGCAAAAACCTCCACTAATTTACACACAGCCTTGAAAAAGAGCTTTTTTACATTCAGTTATGTCTGATAAGCAAGTCTTATTTTAAGACATAAGTTTTGAGAATATGGTTATTATCTGAGGTCTCCACTCATTTATATTTCTTTGGGAAATATAGGTTGAACATACTTTTTAGAAACAGCAAAAATATAATCACAATAATAAAAGTGTATAATATTATTTAGTATGACCTATGGCTTTCTTGGACCTTTAATATAACTCTCCTGAAAAAAAAAATAACTGAAACAAACTGGATTACATGTTCTCAACATATACTGATCTTTATCATGAATTAAATCCTTCTATTGTGACCSTATTACTAAGGCAGACACTTAGGGAATGGTGCAATAAATCCTAATAGAAAAGATGATACTCTAACTCAGGGAACAATAAACTATTATTACTAAGATRTAATTAATTCTCAGTGCCTTTTTGTTGTTCTGACATTTCACTGAGAGTACAGAGGAAATTCTGTGGCACAGAGATGTTCATAAAGACTGAACTTATGTTTTGACCTTCATTAGTCATTGCATGAATTTTTCCAGACTTTAGACATCATCAAATATTATGCTGGAAGACATTGAGAGATATCGTCCACCAGGTTGATACCTAAAAGATGAACATAAAGAAATGATCTGAAGCATCAAAAATAATAAAGACAGAAAAATGAGAACACATTAAAAGGAACTGACTATATAATTGGTAAGCACCATAAAATCTATTCAGTAGCTGAAAGCAGGAACTTACCTTCCAAGTGTATTATCCAAAAGGACTTAATTATAAATCAACCAGCAACTGTCTTAGAGCTGTATAATACATACATGTAGATACATGTATGAAAGAGTGAAGGATATAAAAAAATGGGGAAGGGATGTAAGATACATCCAGGAAATTAATCAATTTCATAACCACTCTTAATTGTTGAATATAAATAGAATATTCTAGGTTTTTTGCTATTTATAGGCAATATGGTAAATATCTTTATGCTTTTATTATTTTCTCATAGAATACTTGCTAATGGAACAGCTTCTAAAGTAAAAGTAGAGTTTGCTCTATTAGAGTTTGAATGCTTGACTTGACATTTAGGCAAATTACTACTATGCCTCTCTGGATTTAAATATAATTGGATTTTAAACTAAATATAAAATGTTAAAGTTCTTAGAATCGTGTCTGACATCAACACAATCTTGCAGTTGTGGCTAAATATAATACGCTTAATACATAGAATTGTCAGGTATAGACATAATATTGCTATGATTATTTGCTATATATTTCAATTTTTCTTTCTTGTTTATAATACCACTTGTATACTTGTATTATATGAAAACACCAATTTACATTATCATTAATGAATACCTTAATGTTGTTTAATACATAACAGCATCAGAGGGTATAAAAAGGTTTCAAAGGTTACCAGTATGCTTTTTATTAGTAGTAAAGATGTACTCTGTGTGTGTGTGAGTGTGTGTGTGTGTGTGTTGCTTAGTGTTAAAAAACAGGACCTCACACATATTAGGCAAGCGCCCTACCCAATGAGCTATGTCCCCAGCCCAATTTATATATCTTTTATGTTTATTTATTACTTGTTTTCAACTTTCTCAAGTCAGTATGTTCCTAAAATTTCAGAGGAATGCTAGAGCCAAAAGCACTCAGCCAAAACTTACCTTCCTGATTCAGATTCAAGAGGATCATCAGTGAATGTTTCTGCATTAAAATCCAAAGGTTCTGCATCTTGGAGAAGTTCTATTCGGTCCCTTTCAGTTTTATTATTAGCTCTGGTATATTTGGATGCTGTTCAAAAGAAGAAAAAAATGTCTACTTCCCTATCACCTTTTAATTTGTGGGTCACAGTCTATAGACTCACAGAAAAAAAAAATCAAGATTATAAAGGAGCCAGATCTTTATTGTGAGAACAAATAACATAAGAAAAGATAACTAATGGTTCTTTAGAAATCAGATTAAAATTGCAAACAGTATAACAGAATGTAATAACAAAAATGTCTCCAGTCTTGTAGTTAGATCTAGCTGAGAGGCAGATCTGGTACAAAGATTTAAATAGTATGAATCAGAGTTACTATTTAACTATGATATTGTAATAGGGAATTGTTCATTATTAAATCAAGTTTCACTTGCTTTCATAGTGAATCTCATTTTTTTGGCTAGACTTTACAAGATAATAAACTCATCCTTTTAAAGAAAGGCCTTAGTTTTTTGCCCATGAGGTAAGAGTATGGGTGATACTGGCCAGCAAAAATAAAATTTGAGTTCCATATTTTAACTCGAAATTTTCTAGTAACTGCATTAAAAAGTAAAAATACAAAGATAAAATGAACTTTAATATGTTTAATTTAATCCAATATATTCAAAATGTTATTAACATGGGGCGCCAGCCACATTGCAACTATTCAATGGTTACATGTGGCTAATAGTTATCATACTAATCAGTACAAATCTAGAGAACTAACTCTTCCCTTTCTACATAAATGGAAATTTCTTTCTTTCTTTCTTTTTTAAAGCAGGAAGCATCGTAGTATATCTTTATTTATTTATTTGAGGTGCTCAGAATGGAACCCAGGACTTCTTGCATGCCAGGCAGACACTCTTACCATTGAGCCTCACTCCCAGCCCATAGATGTGGATTTCTACATAACAACTTAAATTCTCACAATGTTGTTGTAAATTTAATCTAATCCAAATAGATTCAAAACAACTTCTAATATAGTTTATTTTAAAAACTTAAAGCATACTATCCATATTTTACATTTTTGTCATCTCAGACTCAGCTTTAAAGGGAAGTCTTTGTCATGTTTCTCACTCATTCATTCAGCAAATTATGGTTAAATACCACATTCCAGGTTTTTCTCTAGTTCATCTAAGGTTTTATGCCTCCTCTCCTCTTAACCATTCCCCCGTACTCCCAGATCTTTCCATTCTATAAACTTCTACTGAGTGGTAAGAGTTCAAAATTTCTTTACAGATTCCTCTATTTCCTAGCTTTAACTAAAACTCTAGCCCTCTCCTTCTTAATTCTACCCTATATATCATTTAAATAAATCCTTTTCTTTTTATCTTCAGGATCACTGCCTTATTTTAGGCCCTCCTTGTTTCTTAACTGCATTACTGTAACAGACTCCAAAAAGKTTTTTTATGGTTTTTCTTTTCTGAAAATTATAGCATCAAATTCATCTTTATCATGCTTCTTCCCAGATTAAAATCTTACCTTTAGGATAAAATCTAAACTTTTGAGCATGACAGTGTCTGTTCCTCCAACTATCTCTGTGGCTTTCTTTCTTATCAGCCAGCTTATGCTCAGGCTGCCATCACAGAAAAGACATGCACACTTCTAAAGGCTCTTTCATGTCACTATTTCTTGCACTCATTCTGATTAGAACACTGTTTACCTAGCTAAATACCATTCATTCCTCAATGTTCAGACAAATGTTTACAGAAATATTTTTGTATTACACAACTCCTTTCCCAAGACAGAACTTTTTTTCCATTTCCCTAGGTGGGTTCCTTCAGCACCAGGTGTGCACCCTTCAGTAATAACTCTCCTGACAAATCTAAATATTACAAATAGTCTATCATTAAAATGTTGCTGACATTCCCATTTGCCTCTTTTGTATAGTTTCCATCTGGAGAAATTCCCGCCCCCCCCCCCTCCGTTCATGCACATTATCCAATCTTTCTATTAGATATTTTAATGTACTAATTCATTCTACAGTCTAATAATTCCAACACTTGAGCTGCTTCTATGTCTAATTTGTTGCATATTTTATATTTTAAAGATGGCTAATATTTTCTTAGTTCCTTGTGTATTTCATAATTTTGGTTAAATGCCAGACATTTTGTATAAAAGAAGAAATTAAGATAAATAACTGTTATGTGCTCAGAATGGGTCATCTTAGTGTTGTAGGACTGAATCAATTTAATCTGTAGTTAATCTGTAGTTAATCTGGATTTGGACTTCGTTGTTGCTTTAGTTCCCTTAAATCTCCACAGATTTCACATTTCTCCTGCAATGAACTGTCGTTGCCTCATACCTGGGAGGGCCCCAAGTTGTTAGATGGTTTCTCTCAGTATTCTTTTCCACCTTCATATTTCAGCCACAGAGGGGGTTCTCCATTTTCTACTTCTCTAATAGTAGCCTAACGTTGCATAAAACTTCTTGTTGGGCTCAGCTTTCCTGCTCAATCCTCAGTCTTAGGCAGATTTCTGTGCACTGAGGCCTCAGTGGTAGGGCTCCTTCAGCAACATCATATCTCTCCCAGTGACAGACTTTGCCTTCTACACAGTACAAAGTCCTAGACAGAAATAGGTTTCTTGGCACCTTCCCAGGGGCAAATGGTTTCTGCCTTATGTCAGTACAGAGTCAGCGCTATGGGAAAGTTTCTTAACACATACCAGTGACTGATGGCTTCTACCTGGTATCAATTCTTTGCTAAATTATAAGCATCATGAGGACAAGAAATTTACCTTCTCTTTATCAGTGTATATATGGAAAGTACCTGAATACAAGAGTCAGCCAATAAACAATTGTAAAACCAGCTGAATACCCACATCTATAAAAAAAAATCAAGGTAAATAATACAAACAAGTACCTGCCTAACACATTGAACAAGTGCTTTTATATTTAGGTTAGTATACTTATAGTATTCATTTGATGTCTTAATTTCTCCTTTTCCTACCAAAATGCACATTTGAGTTTACCCTTCCTTGTATATACTAAAGAATGTGAAAAAGGAAAGTCACTGCAGATGCACATTTACAACTCTACAGAGACATTTCTGGAGGGGAATCCTAACTATCAGTCTCTATGCAAGTAAGCACAAGAAAAATATTTTAAAGCAAACTAGAAAATAAACTACTTACACCAATTGGTATTGATATCTGAGAAATTTGACTCTTTTGGGTCAGGATGAACATTTCTGTTTCTAGTGGAATCTTCTCTATTATGTCCATAACGTTCTTTCCATTCCTAGAAAAGAAACATAAATTAATATATAACAAAAGAACAGAGAATATTTCATCAATGTCAAAAGTCTATATGCAGGGTAATATAACAATCATTTTCTCTCAGAAATTTATTAGTAATAGTATAATTTCCATAGTGCCTTTAAAAATCAGATACTAAGCACTAGTGTTTGCCTAGCATGCATAGTGCCCTGAGTTCAATCCTCATACCTTAAAAAAAAAAGCCAATGTTTTTATCTTCACATGATTTATTAAAACTAGCCTCTATAAACTTTAATCTTTTATTTTCAGAGACACAGACAAAGGTTTATTTAGGAAAACAGAGACACATTAAAGGGAGAATGTAGGCCATCTCCAGAGGGAGATACAGCCTATAAACTTTAATTCTTAATGAAAACATTTAAAGACACTTGCCAGCTATGATTATGTTAAACTTTTATTCTAACTAAAATTTGAAACAGTGTTCCAATAAACTTGTGGACTATGGAAAAACTATGAAATTATGTGATTAAGATACTAATAAAAATTTCTTTCAAATTCACTACAAATGCTAGAGACCTGAAGTAATTTTTGATAGTATAATTAAAGTTGATTCACATAGAATTATGAGTTATATGTAGTAAAGTCACATTAACTGAGATTCCATTAATTAAATTCTTAGAATTGAAATGGCTATTCAAGATCACCTGATTCAACCTTCCATGTAATGCAGGGACTCATTGTAAAATATCCATGCCAGATGCTTTTTAGCTCTTCAACTAGATAATATCATTTTCTATGTTTGAGCAGCCTATTACAATTTTGGTAAATTGTAGAAGTCAGAAATTCTCATAGAGAAATGAAATCTACCTCCTGTACCTTCTACTCTTTGATTCTAGTATTCTTCTACTTTTCTGAAATAAAGAACAAGTCTCCCCTTCACATGACATACACTAAAATATATCAGTATAATCACAACCAATTATTAAAAATTTGTGGAAACCATGAATAGATTTTCTCAGTTTTTGTGTTTTCATTCTAGGAGAAGGTCTGTTTCCTCAGCAAATACTAAAGAAAAAATTAAGGAGGAAAAGAATTACTGCATTATTGCAAAAATGTAACAATTTTAAAGTAATCCAAACCACTTTATTAGGAAGACTACATGAATTCACTCATTCACTCAACAAATATTTACTGACTACATGCCTTAGATGAGAAACTGCTTGATGCTGAATAAGAAATAATTTATTACTAATGATATTTTAGAACAAGTCTGACAGGAAACCTAGCATGTATATGTAAAAGTAATAAAATTCTCCTCCTTTAACAATACATCCTATGCCATATTCCCGCTGCTCTTCTGTCTTCAGCTAATTACTACAATTCTTACAATATTTCACATTAATCAATAGGTTATAATAATGTAATAAATATTGTACTTACTCTTCTTCGATTTTCACCTTCTTCTTGCCTTTGCCTTTTTCTCTTTTCTGGAGACAGAAAAAGAGCCTCAAATTTGGTATAATATGGTTTAATCAGACATACAGTAAAATGAAGTAAAGATATCAGTCTATGACCAATATTTCTTTTAAATAACTACAAAATCAAATGTAATAAGTCATTTTTAGAAAGAACTTGAGAAGTAACCTAACCACACAGGGCTCATTTTCTTTATATTTGGTGAAGATTGTCAAATAGCTTTAGTGAAGGAAAACACTTCTTCCTCATGATGATCTGAAATTTGTTTCTCTGTAACTTTTTTTCTTTTTTAGTCCTATCTTCTAAACTAAGTTTATTTCTATTCTTTCTGTATAAGTGTTTTTCTCTTGTTACTCTTTTCAGGTTATACACTCACCCTTTTGGGTCCCAATCTCCCCTAGAATATGCTCTAAAAGTGTAAAATTCTGACTATCCTCTTAACAGTTTCCAATTCATCAATCTTATTTGTAAAAATCTTACTCAGGACTGGACATGATATGCCARATGAGTTCTAATTAATGCAGAAAGCATAATATCAATTAGACATTCCCTTCTTTTAAAGCATGTGAAGGCTATGCAAGCTAATTTTGGAGTATATCTAAGAACCAACGTTCTAAAGTCCATGCTTTTCCCACTTTCCCATCATCATCTGAACATCAGTAAATTTAATACTTTCAATTTTGAGAATAGGTTCTAATAGACTGCTATATATATTCTAACAGTACTAACATTCTCACATTAATAATCATTATATTCTATAAAAAAGTACTCTTGGTTGAATGATTTCCCAAGTAGTTATCAAACTGATAGTTTTTTAAATAAATGAATTTTATACTTGCATAGACCTTGGCAAATATGTTTCAAGGCAAATGTGAAAACAACTAAAAGACAATACAAGTGTGTTATGTAATTGTAGACATACTCTAGAATGCAGAACTTATTAAACAATTATATTTCCTAAGAAAGCTGTGTGTGTAGATTTTTAGCTAAAAAATTTGTAAACTTCTAATTGCTGAAAAGAGATTTCAAATTATTTACAAATTATACAAACATTAATTTTGTACTTTGAATCTTAGTACTTAGCATTTTCCCTTCATTTACTTTATTTATTTATTTTCACATTTGAATCAAATGGGGTATAATTTCTCATTTTTCCAAGTGAACAGGTTGCAGAATCACATTGGTTATACAGACACGTATATACATACAGCAATACTAGTGTCCATTTTATTCTGCTGCCCTTCCTGTCTCCCCTTCCCCATCCCTCCTCTCCCATCACTTCTCTCTACCCAATCTAATGTGACATATTTCTTTTTTTAAAATCTTACCTCGTCTGATTAATTCTTTTCCTTCATCAACTAAATCTGATGTCATATCATTATCACCCATGAACTGCTGGAAACCAAGCAGATTCAAACAACGGGTTCCCAAACTAATAAAAGTAGATTTTCAAAAAGACAAGCATTATTTTACATTGTAAATATTTAGGTAAACTTTTCATTAGCACTGTCACCCTCAAAGAAGCTTATGCTTCATTTTTAGTTATCATGGCAAGTATGTAGTATTACATCCATCATTCATCAAGAAGCACTTGTTTCACTTTCTGAAACTTACGTCCAGTACTTCACTCACTAGGGGTTATTATACCCAGATTTCTTATGGAAGCAAACTATGTTAGGCCTTCAGCATATCTTCAGAAAACAACTATACCAGGATGCTAAATAATGACTATCATACAAGAACACCTTATTACTTTCAAATAACAGTTTTACAACTGAAATGCACACATAAAACCTGCATTTTCAAATGCAGAATATTCTGGTTTAGAAAGTCTTAAATATGCAAATTGATTTTAATGTTCTATTTTTCTTCCTGAGAACTAGTCAGTTATATTTAAATTTTTAAAGTTATATATTGTAAAGTAATCTACGCCTTATCTGGCCTTATCTGTGGGCTTTTACCTCAGATTTTATTTGCTATTTACTTTAAATCTGATTGTGGTGCAGCACAGAAGTACTAGTACTCTGAAAGCAYGGAACACAAGGAAGGCAGGAATCGATGGAAAGGCAGAATTAATATTGTTACTATTATGCATGAGACAATTTACAGATGCTTTTATTTAATTCTTACTATAACCCTAAGAAATAAATATCACTTTTCTGATAAGGAAACAGGCCCATAGAGTTAAATTGTTTGCTAAAAATCTCTTAATAAATGCAGAGCTGGGACTTCAATCCAAGACAAAAATTTTAAAAGTGCTTGTTTTATTACATTTAGTTCTCAGACTTGTTTACTGATGTGCTTTTTTAAAAAAAAAAAAAAATATATATATATATATATATATATATATATATATATATTTTAGTTGTAGATAGACACACAGTATCTTTATTTATTTTTGAGGATCAAACCCAGTGCCTCATAATGTGAGGCAAGCATGTTATCACTGAGCTACAGCCCCAGTCTCTGATGTGCTTTTAATTGCAGAAACCTGAATTCCAGAGGCAAAGGGGGAAGAAAGAGGCAAGGATGAAAATTAAGTGTATGAAGAAGGAAAAACAGGTAGTTGAAGTGAAGATCTACCATCTACATTAAATGTGTAAATATCTGGCTAATTCAGAATACATATGCATGTTTCAATATAAAGAATATTTTATACAAATTACCATTGAGTGAAACTGGGCTTTCAGGTAGATAATTATGTTAATTCTGTGACTTTAAATACTTCTTTAACCTCTTCATATCTTTGGGGGGAATGAGAAGCATGAAACTAGTTTCTGAAAAGGTCTTTGTCTAAAGTGCCAGGAAACAACCTAACTCTGTCTGGGCAAATAAATCTGAACATTATCTGTGGGTCTGGTTTTTCTGCTCCTAGTRTAAGAATTAAACTGTGACCGCACTACAAATGAAAATGGACCTATAAAGTCAAGTTACATATAAGTGTCAGTAAGATATCGCTTCATACATTTCTATAACACAATATTATTTTATGAGATAATTTAAAAATTGAGGAATATGACATTTTTTAAATTTTTTTTTTTTAGTTCTAAATGGGTACAATACCTTTATTTTATTTATTTATTTTTACGTGGTGCTGGGATCAAACCCAATGCTGCACGTGGTAGGCAAGAGCTCTCTAGCACTGATCTACAACTCCAGCTCCTGATCTCTTACTTCAATATAAAAGGACATACAATGTTCATCCCAACTCCAGAAAAACACTTTTAATAATTCTTTTTAATTTTTAGACATAATGATTCCTTTTAAGATTTTATAGTAGACAGAGTACTATTCTACTCCTTATTCCTTGATCCATATAATCATCTCATCTCAAAATACTAATACTTCTACTGACATGAAAATACATCACTTATGTATCACAAGTACTTAATGTTCCACTGATAGTTTTATAAGTTTTTAAAATGAATAAGCATATCATCAAAACTTAGTTTTAGACATACAAAGTATGATTAGTCTCTTCTTTTTAATAATTCATTTTTGCATTATAAATTTGTTTTTGTCCTTTCTACCTTAAAGGAAAAACTCAAAATATCATATTTGCTATCAGTTGTTATTAACAACATAATTTAAACTATAGTCTTTGTGGGGCATGGTGGCACACGCCTGTAATCTTGGCAACTCGGGAGGCTAAAGCAGAAGGATTCCAAGTCCGAGGCAAACCTCAAAAAYTTAGTGAAGCCCTAAGCAACTTAGTGAGACCATGTCTCATAAAAAATTAAAAAATAAAAAAATGGATGTGGCTTAGTGATAAAGGGCTCCTGGGTTCAATCCCCAGTACTGCAAAAATAAATAAGCTTTAATTTTTTAGCTATTTTACTTATGAGAAGATAAAATATAAATACCTTTTAAAATTCAACAAAGAATTTATTTTAAAAAATATCCATTTATTCTTTACCTATTAGTAAATATTATTTACAATAGTAGTGATATTGGAAAATTTAAATGAAAAACAGGTAGACAAATGTTGTTTTCATTAGAGAATCGAACTGATTAACATTAATAAGACATTTTTGCTAAAGTGATATTTTGGGTGTGTTGTGGAACACTTACACAGAGAGGGCAGATAGAATACATACAATATAGGGGCAGATACCTGACACATGAAAGTAGATAAGATAGGGTGTGAGAAGTCACACACAACTGTCCATTAACTCCTTTTGAATTCCAGCCAAGATTCCACCTTTCTCTCTAATCTCACAAAAGAAAACTAAGGGAGAATTTCTTCCCTAACCCTATGTTTTTTTCCTGACTATAATTGTTCCTCACCCGACCTTTTGCACTGACCATGACCTGAGGAATCTAGAAATCCAGCAATAATTATCTGGAAAGCCCTAAATTATGTTATTGGAAAGAAGCTGGACAAGCTGAAGGGTTTTGTAAGCTATACTGGCTGTCGGTGTCAAAGATCAGGATTTAGAAGTTAATATTCTGTAATTAACCCTACCATTGTGTAGCCTGAATAACTGTAGTAAAATAACTCTACCTCCCTTTTCTTTAAAATATCCTCAGAGAGAGAACCAGACCTGATCACTCAAGCAGTCCCTTCAAACTATGCCAGCTCCCCCCAAACCAAAATAAAGCAAACAACTAAAACCCAACCAATAAATGTTTTTTAAAGTTTTAAAAAGAAAAGATACCCCAATACAACTATGAGTATGAGAAAAGTAATGTTAAGCTTCTTACCTAAAATAAGTAGCAATGCAGAGAATTACCACTAACATAGGATAATATATATAGAATCCATCTGCAATAAAGGATAAAACTTTCATGGAACCCATAATCTGAAGAGCAAGAAAAAAGTAAGTTAAATCAGCACAGTTCTATATTTTTCATTCCTTCTTGTCTTTAGAAAATTTACCTACAACCATAGTCATATTAATAAACTGAATTTATCAAAAAATAAAAGCAATACACTATGCAGTCAAATTTTTAAAAAATTTGTTTTTTTAATCCAAATTTTCTCTTAAGCTTTTAATAGTCTTATTAAGGTTAATATTTTATAGGTCAGGTCTTTGGATACTCTTCTGATAGACAACTTATGTACAAAAAAACATTTTTTATGATGAGAAGCAAAATCACTTTTATCCAGTCAGCATTAGTAATCACATATACATTGTTAAGAAAAAGTTTAATTTTTTTTCCCAATGGTACTAGGGATTAAATCCAGGAGTGGGGAGTATACTACTGGGCTCTATTCCCTGCCCTTTTTTTATTTTGAGACAGGGTCTCACTAAGTTGCCCAGGCTAGCCTTAAACTTGAGATCCTCCTGCCTCTTCTCCCAAGTAATTGGGATTACAAATGTCTATTACCACACTCAGCAGGAAAAATTTTCAGTCACAAAAATGAGTTTAAAAGTGCTATAGTACATTTTTGCCAGCATTAAAAGAAAGTTTACAATAATGATCTCTCATAGAGATAATGAATTCTGTTTTCTGGCCATACTTACAGATGTATAAGCAGTTGGTTGAGTATTCTTGTGAGAGATGGATGAATCCATATGGGTCAGACCCAAGAAATTAAGACATAAAGGAGGAGTCAAGCGGCAAAATAACCTGCAGTAAATATTTTTTAATACCAGAAAATATAAAAAATAGTGCAGCAAAAGATATTTTATATTACATTGAATGTACTAAAAACATTTCAAATCATTATAGCTATAGTATTCATTTATTTGCACCATATACATTTTGAATTTTTAACATGAACATCCCTTAGTCACTTGGGAGACATTCTGAAAATCCTATTAATCATATCCCCCTTAAAACCATCAAAATCTACATGGCAAAACTATAGCCTCAGGCTCCTTGTCACAGTGGTACCCCATAACTTGTGTGAAGTTCCTTTGTATGCACCTCTTTTAACTCTACTATCTGTGCAATGTATCTCACAGCATGGCAATGTCAGTAACATTCTCAAGGGGTATGGTACTCTGTACATAAAAGATCTAAAGTTGCATCAAAATGTTCATTCTGACAGGTATAGTGAGTATAAAGGGTTGCTCAGTTTTAAAAAGTACCCTACAAAACTTCATATGTAGAGAATTGAGTATGGGAAGAAAGAAGAAACGAGAATATAGAGAGGTATTATAAGGAAGCTCTTTTGTGGTGAGATAACAGTTCTGGATCTTGATTGTGATGGTACCTGTAGGAATTTACATAGAAAAATGAAGCACTGAAAATGGTGAGAACTAAATATTGTCTACAGAGTAGTTAACAGTAATGATCCAATTTTTTTGGTTTTGTTATTATACAATAGCTATATAACATTTCATTATCAGGAGAAGTTTAGTATACATAGGACTCTGTGTAGTACATTAGCAACTTCCTTCAAGTTCATAATTATTTGTCAAATAAAAATAAAAGTCTTATTTTGTTTTGTGGTGTAGGAAATTGAACCCAGAGCCTTGTGCATGCAAGGCAAGCACTTTACCACTGAGCTATATCCCCAGCCCCAAGAGTCTTAAAGATACTTCAAGTATCAATTCCAGTGAACATCTTTGAGCCCCACCCTTAGAAATGCCTCAAATGACTGATTTGACAATACATAATAGATTGTGCAACCCAGCCCAACCTAGAGCCATTTCTCTAAACTCTAAATTCCTCAGGAAAAATTATTCCTGTTGATTTTCTTTCTTCAATTCAGTTTAGGCCACTGATTCTGTGAATATTCTCTAAGTATGAATTAATATTTATAAACTTTAAATTGTTTCTATTATTTATTTATCTACATACTGAATCTCTAATTGGTAAATTCAAGCTCACTGTGTCTTACTTCTCCTTTGTAATCTAGGATATGTAACATTGTGGTTTAAATATGAGATGCTCCTTGGAAAGCTCATGTTGCAAAGCTCTAGAAATAAAATGATTAGATGATGAGAGCTGAAACTAATAAATGGATTAATCCATTTGATGGATTAATAATATAAATGAATTACTGGGTGGTAATTGTGAACAGTGGGGTGTGTCTGGAGAAAGTAAGTCACTGGGGACTTGCCCTTGAGGATTATACTTTGTCCTTGGCTCTTTCTCTTTCTCTCTATTTCCCAGCTTCCATGAACAGAATGGTTTTCCTCCTCCATGACCTCACAGCATGATGTTCTGCCTCACTTCGGGCCCACAGAATTGGAGTCTGCTGACCATGAACAGAGATGACTGAGACTTCTGAAACTATGAACCCAAAATAAACTTTTCCTTCTCTAAGTTGTTCTTGTCACAAATCTTGATCACAGCAATGACAAGCTGACTAACACACCTAGTTTAACCTTAAACCTCAAGGAGGATTTATCTGTGAATCAACAAACATTATTCAATACTTAAGCCTTATCAATCATATCATAGAAATATATGCAACATCCATAAAAAAACAATAAAAGAGAGGTCCATTATAATGCATGCAATGGATACATTTCTCTTATTTCTAAACTCAATCCAACTTACATGCCACTGAAAAGAAGACTGTACGCATCAGTCTGGTGATGTGAAGCCAAGTAATAATAGTTAAATACACGAATCCTAAATACAGTAGAATAAACACAGATACTTAGGAAGAAGATAGACAGAAAGCAAGCAATCTGAAAAAAACAAAAACAGAACAGTTTAAGACTAACGGACTTTATTATTTTATATACTATAATAAGCATTACCCTTCATTTCCTAATACTTATTGATGTCCTAAAATTAAAATACAATAAAGTAGTTTTTAAAAATCACCTAAGAAAATGAAATTATATAAAAACAATCTACATTTCAACCAGTTCAACATCCTAGACCCATAAATTTCAAATCTACCTCCTGAAGTGAGCCTGTTTTCCCATTCCCTTGGCAACTCTTCACATGAAGATTATAAGTTATGTAGCTTCATTGGCATAAAGTGGATCAAAGTATTCTCATAAAACAATTTTTCACTAGCTCTCCTCAAATATAGCTCTTAGTGTTTTATACTCTGGGCAAATTGAAGAAGTTCATTTTTGGAAGTATGACTAATAACATTGTGGGAAACTTCACTGGTTTTATTATTACTGGAAGAAACGTATGAGAAAAGATACAATAGTTAAGGATTATGCTGTGAACAGACATGTATTTTATGACAGATATGAAATAAACTGACCTCAATATAAATATAATTGTAAGTTCTTTCTGCCAGCTGTATGAAGACTGCAAAGAGGGATAAGACAGGAGTTGTGCTAAAGAATGTGCACTCTGACCACACAACAATCACAGAGAAGATAGACAAAACCACAGCAAGTATCCTGTAAAACCATGGTCGCAAAAGACATTCCCAGTACCATTCTGGAAAATTAAAGAAAAAATACAATTAGGAAAACTAGAGGAGTAAAAGGGTATTGACAATATCCCAACAAGATAATTATAAAAAGAAAAATAGCAATTTTACAGTGGATGGATCTTGCAGACATACCCTGACCAAATGATCACCAGTAAGGGGACAAAGTGACATAGTGYTTCTTGCTATGATGCACTAAGAAGAACATGTTATCTTTGACATGGTATTTCTGCTCAAAATGCATAACCTACATCTAATCATGAGACATATCAAACTCAAATTCAGGGACATTGAATAAATAGCTGGCCTGTACTTTCCACAAACACCTCAGTTATAAAACACAAAGACTAAAAACATTAAAGATTAAAGGAGACTTTATGGTAGGATACATGCTCCTACTAATTTTTTCCCAATACTCTGGAGGGCACTGAAAAAAAAACAGGGGCTAGAGTTGTGGCTCAGTGGTAGAGCACTTGCCTGACATGTGTGAGGCACTGGGTTCAATTCTCAGCACCACATATAAATAAATGAATAAAATAAACGTCTAACCTAAAAAAAAAATATTTAAAAAAGAAAACAGATTTTGAAAACTCTAATTATAAAAGTTATTTTTATTAAAAATCTTTCTTCTTGGGCATTTCTAATTTTTCTCTAGTCTTCATAAATAAGATTAGAATGTAAGAGGCTGGGGATGTGGCTCAAGCAGTAGCGTGCATGCGGCCCAGGTATGATCCTCAGTACCACATACAAACAAAGATGTTGTGCCCACCGAAAACTAAAAAATAAATATTAAAAAATTCTCTCTCACTCTCTCTAAAAAAAAAAAAAAAAGACTAGAATGTAAATAAGCAAAGAGGATTTCTTAGGGGATATTTTAGTAGTATGTCAATATGACTCAAGCTGGTGATTTATAGTTGCTTAAAATTATAATTAGTTTAAATATATATCATATATAATATGCTTGAGATATTACATATATTTTTGTTATACATTTTAGAATTTAATCATTTTTGAAGTAACACTGGAAACTAATGGATATGATAAAACTTTTTTTAGTATTTTTTAGTTGTCAATGGACTTTATTTATTATATTCAGTGCTGAGAATCAAACCCAGTGCCTCACACATGCTAGGCAAGTGCTCTATCACTGAGCTACAACCCCAGCTCAGATGATATATTTTTACAAGTAAAATAGTTACCCCATATTACCACATGGTATAAACTAAATAATACAAGTAAAATTCAGCTTTGCACTGAGAAAATATGCACTTTTTCCTGTAGAAAAAATACTACTAAACTTTGAAATTTATATGAAATTCCATACCAACTGTAGGATTATAAAAATACTGGATAAATCGATTTTCAGGCTCTGGTGATTGAAAGGTGTGAACAAACTGATGAGTTGCACTAGTTTCATTTTTCGCTACATCTTCTAGATAAAATGCCTGTTCCAAGAGTATCTGCCATTGTACTTGAGTTCGACGGTGCCTCTGAACTGAATAAATCACCTAAAAAAGATAAGGGGGTGAATGTGTCTGAGAGAACAGTGTGTCAACCTAATGATCACAAATAAGGGGACAAAGTGACATGGTGCTTCTTGCTATGACGCTAAAAATGCTAGTGAGCATTTTTAATTTTTATTTATTTTATTTTATTTTATTTTAGTCACAACATGAACATACTAGTGATATTTACTGTGTAGGGTCAAGAATTTTTTTTTTTTTTTTATGATATGATAGTTCCATAGACTGTAACAGTTCTAATCCTTATTACTCAATTGCCCAGGGTACCACTGTCTGGAAGCACAAAGTTAACACACTTCAAAGAACAACGATATGCATAGTATGGAAAGAAATTTTAGATATGAATTCAATCAAAATTTATTTTTTGTGTGCAATAATTATAAATCTAGTTGATTTGTAATTGCAAATCTAACTGAAAGAGAAAGAGCTATAATTAATTATTTAAGTTACCTGTTTATGTAATTTTACCAGAGTCTTTTCACTTGGATAGGTATTACGCTTTTCATCAAAATCTTCATAATCATCCATGTTCCTACCCATTTTTTCCTGATACTCTGTAGGACACTAAAAAGAAAACAGATTTTTAAAATATTAATTATAAAAGATGAAAATTTATTTTTATTAAAAAATCTTTCATTCTTGGGCATTTTTAATTTTCTTGAAAACATTTTCTTCCTTTATTGGCATCTCTGAATAGATTTTCACTTGCTCACCTTTTTTAAAAAATGTTTTAAAAAATGTGTTCAGCTTCTTCTCACCTCTATTAACATTAATCTTTATCTCAGATATACTAGCTAGGGAATGGTCAAGACAATGGTAGAGGCAAACTTACCTTAATTGTAGGTAAGTTTACCTACATGAAGCAAATAGTATTTGAAAGGTGTATGCTAAATAAGCATCTGAAAAAAATGTCAATTATTTTTCTAGCTAAATCATGAAAAACATTACAAGAAATCCAAGGTGCTGAAGTTTTGAAAGGCATAATATAGAGAAACACATGTAGGATCTTGGGTATCTGCTGTACTACTGGTCACTTATTACCTATATGAATTTGGGCAAGTTAGTTAACCTCTCTAAATAGGTCTCCAAAACTTACAATTACGAGAAAAATGGTCAGAAAATTTATTCCTGTGACTAAAATAGTCAAAGTAACACTAGCTAACAATCAGTACAATAGGAAAAGACATATTTCAGTGGTTCTCAGGCTGCATAAAAGACAACTGGGGAACCACAAAGAACTGTGTTTGAAGTATATGAATACCTGTAACTCAATACCACTGCATCAAAACCTTAATTATATGGTTTCTTATTAAATACTTATTATATACTTCATAATGTCAGTTATTTTGTGATTGATTATATTGTAAAAATGACATTTAGAAAGCTAGTTGCAAGAAATTATAGAGGTTAGTTTATTTTCTTTTTTTAATGTTTATTTTTTAGTTGTAGTTGGACACAATACACTTATTTCATTTATTTATTTTTATGTGGTGCTGAGGATCAAATCCAGGGCCTTGCACATGCTAGGCGAGCGCTCTACTGCTGAGCCACAACCCCAGCCCCAGTTTATTTTCTTTTAAAAGAAATGTCTTCAGTGCTTATATACAATGGCACCTTAAAGATTTATCTCCAACACTGTGTCATAGCAATTATTTTACATAACTCAATATTAACTCTATCTTCATGTTTTAGTAGAAAATATTGTCACTAATTAACATTAAACTTATAATAACAAGAGGAAAAAGTCTATGTACAAATTACTACTGGTTTATGGTTAATATTTCCATGAAAATGCACTGGGAAGACCTGAACCATAGACATTTTTATACTTTTATGATGCTTTTGTTGTTATTACATATTAATTTATATATTATGTAATTATATATTTTAAAATTACCTTTTTAAGTATTGTATCAACACATTTTCTCAATGGGTGGTTATACTTGATGCTTTCATTCACTTTACGAACCTCCTATAACAAGAACAAGAGGAATAAGAATATTTCCATTTCTAGAGGTGAGACATTTCAAGCTTACTAAAACTTTACAAGTTTAATTTCAACTCAAATTACTTAGCATTACACAGTTTTTTGTTTTGTTTATTGAATACGAGTTCTTAAAAAGACATGCAAAAGTATAAGGCAACTGAATTGTATCTATTCACTCACTTTTTATTACTTTCTAGATTTATTCCCTTATCATTTGCTTACTTAATATACAAAGATGATTAAACATTATTTAAAATGTTCACAAAGGATCTGATAAACTGATCCTAAGAACAGGACTGTATTACTCCACCATACTCATCAAGATGAATCATTTCATTTATACAGTGAAGAAACCAAAGGAAAAGACTACACATGTCACAAAGCACCTGATGTTTCCAATAGGAGAATACTCTAGAGCAGCCACAATTGATTGATTCATCTCATATTTGTTTATTAAGATCAACCCATGTCAGCACTGTGGTGGCTATAAGGTGACCATAATACATACAGAATAGCAAGGTTGGAAGACATTGCATTGTCAATCTTTGACTCAAATTATAATGTAGTGGTAAGATAATTAAATAGGTAATTTAATGAAAGGCATAAAAAGAGTTAGGAAGAGGATTTTTTTTTTTTTTATAACCGTACTGGGAATTGAACTCCCAGGGTTGGTCTGCTACTGAGCTACATCCCTAGCCCTTTTATTTTTTAATTTTAAGACAGGGTCTTGCTAAGTTGTCCAGGCTGGCTTGAACTTGCTAGCCTTCTGACTCAGTTTCCTGAGTCACTAGGATTTTAGGCTTATGTCACTGTGTCCAGGCAGATACACAAAAAATGAGAATACAGAAGAAATACAATTGATCCATAAATGTCTAAAAAGATATTCAAGCTTACTAAAAACAATTATGAACTAGTAGTTCCTAAGAAATATTCAATAATATTCATGAAATAAAAACAAGAGTTGGAATCACTATTTCAGGCAGAAGAAACTCCGTATCACAATCTGGGAGTTAAGAGGGAACTGAGCAGGATGTTAAAAAGAATATTGGTGGCTAGGATTGTGGCTCAGTGGTAAAGTGCTTGTCTCACATGTGTGAGGCACTGGGTTCAATTCTCAGTACCACATATAAATAAATGAATAAAATAAAGGTCCATCAACAACTAAAAAAAAATTTTAAAAAAAAGAACATTGGGACTATAAGGCAGAGAAGGGCTTCAAGGGATAGAGAATTAGAGGCAGAAAAAGTTATGAAAAAATATTTAATTTATATGACAAAGAATCACCATCCTTAATATATGAATAGCTCTTACTACTAAATAGAAAAAATAGAATACAGAAGAAATACAATTGGTTTATAATTACAATTATAATGTTCAAGCTTACTATAAACAAATAATAATTTTTAAAAAAGAGCTTTCCTGCAGAGTTAAAAAACTTGACATTATGTAGTGACATAAGAGTGTAAGGAAACAGGCCCTCCATATGCAGTAAAAAGTGATATAATCTATATAATCCTGGCACTGTCTGTCAAAATTTAGTATATGCATACTCTAGGAATAATCTCTACCAACAGACACTGCTCCTGTCAAGGAACTTAGCTTAATGAAGAAAACAGACATTAGTCAAGTAGAAATGTTGTGGAAACTGCTGTAAAACAAAAAAAAAAAGTAAAATCCTCTGAGGGGGTATAATCTCTTATAGGAGGCTTTCTGATACACTGATAAGTTAAAGTGAAATACAGGCTCAGGTTGTAGCTCAGAGGTAGAACTCTTGGCTAGCACAGGCCATGGGTTTGACCCACAGCACCACAAATAAAATAAATAAAGTAAACTAAAATAAAGTTGCATATGATTTCAATGTGGCTACTGAGGCCTAACTAGACAGCCGTACTTCATTTAAAATTAGATAAAACAAAATAAGTAGAAGTTAGTCAATTAAAAGGAGGGGCAAGAATATTCCAAATAGAAGAACAAGGACAGCAAATACGAAGGTCTCCAGGTAGAAGTGAACAAATTATTTTAGATAGGAAAAAACAAACAAACAAACAAAAAGCCAGCATGACTACAGAGAAAAGAAGAGTAAAGTCCTGACTAGCACTTCACTAGGCCGAAGAAGAAAATCAAAGTGCTCCTAAAAGGCATTAATAACAATTTATTTTGAGGTAAATGTGTGAGGCCCAAATGCAAGAGTGACAAGAACAAACCTGAGTTTTTAAAATGTCCCCTTGAAACATTATTACATTTTAATTGTCTATTATTAAACTGCCTTAAAGTTTGTAATTGAGCACAATTTTATCCTACTTTGAAAAACGAACTACACAATCTGACTGTATATTCTATATAAAATATTTTACCTTTAAATTCCAAAGAGATACATATTTTAAATATACCAAAGTAGTTTTGATAAAACTGCATTTGGGGATTATGTGGATATCTAAGAATCTTTTCCCTGCTTGGAAAGTATCATTGATTGGTTCCTTATTACTTTCTTTTTTTGGAGGGGGTGGTACTGGGGATTGAACTCAGGGGTGCTTGACCACTGAACCACATCCCTAGCCTTATTTTGTATTTTATTTAGAGATAGGGTCTCACTCAGTTGCTTAGAGCCTTGCTTTTGCTGAGGCTGGCTCTGAACTGGAGGTCCTCCTGCCTCAGCCTCCTGAACTGCTAGGATTATAGGCATGTGTCACCATGTCCAGCTTCCTTATTATTTTCAAAATACATTCTGGACTTTTCCATTTGGCATTCAAGGCCCAACTATGACTTTATCTTTTGAAGATAAACTCTATGTTCACTTTGATTTGGTTTAAAACATTCAGATATTTAACTGGAATGCTTTTAGCTATCAAAATTCTATTCATCCTTAAAGACCCAGGTCACACCAGGTCATACTATATCTCCTCTGATTACTATTCAGATATGAAAGCTCTCCATATTAGAGCATTTTCTTTGTATCATTCACATCACATTTACCATACATTATATGGGAGGATACAGTTTTCCACTCTAGACAGTTAATATTCTAACAGTCAGTTCTACATAGCACTTCTTATGGCAGAAAGACAATAAGTACTTGTATATGGACAAATGAAATCACATTCAAACCATTTTTTTTATGGGTAAGGGAGAAGGCTTCTGCTATCTATGTGAAACAGCTGCTATTATAATCCATTAAGAAAAGAGGTATTTCTTATTCATATGGAAATTTTTCTCTTATCTAAAGTTTTTTAAATCCCCCCACTTTAAACCTATGAATACTAAAGTAGCACTGAAGGCACCAATGTTTTTTCTTCATTTTCCACACCTTATTTCTAAGTGCTCCTACCTAATAACAACATCTATTTCATTCAGTATATTATCAAGTATAAATTTTCAAATATCTCGAATTTTCCTTCAGTTTCAAATTTTCAGGTATATCAAAATATAAACATAAAATTATCAAATGTAAATTATCTTCTTTGAAAAATGTGATAACATTCATCATAGACTTGAGGAAATATATTCGAATATTTAGATATTTATTCCGACTTTTTGAATCAACGTTTGCTACAGTTCTTACATTTTATAGAGAATAAATGTGAAAAGTCAACATAAAATTTTCCACAGTATACTTTCATTTGTTCATTTATTCATTCACTTAAAAAATGGTTGCTAGGGTCTAAGAGTCTGGGGAATAGAAAAAGCACTAAGGATTGAATTGTATCTTCTAACAATTCATATGTTAAAGCCCTAATCCCCAGTACCTCAGTATGTGGTCTTATTAGAAATAGGGTTGTTGCAGATAAAATTAGCTAAATTAAGACAAGGCCATACTGGAGTATAGTGGGCCCTAATCCCACATAACTGGTATCTATAAAAAGGGGAACTTGAACACAGAGACACACAAGGAGAACACCATGTATAGATGAAGGCAGAGATCTAAAATCCAAGGAATACCAAAGACTACAAGCAAGCCAGAAACTAGAAGGCAGGTGTGATGCAGATTTTCCTGACAGCCTTCAGAAAAAACCAAACTTGCCAATGTGTGGATCCTGACTTTTACCCTCTAGAACTGTGAGACAATAAATTTCTGTCATTTAAGCTACCTAGTTTGTAGTACTTTTGTTATTGCAGTCCTAGGATGCTAATACAGAAGGCTTCCCCAAAGAATTCTCATTTATGTTAAGACTTGAAAATGAAGCAAGAAATTAGTTGAAGAAGGTCAAGAATATTTCAAGAGTGTGGGAAAAGCATGCTTAAAGACAGAAAAGAGAGGTAATAAATGTAATGATTAAGAGATAGAGGTCATCCGATCAGATCAAATCCAGTCCACTATTTGTTCTTATACTGGAAGACATGAATGCTCATTCATTTATGTATTGTCTATGGCTGCTTTCATGCTACAAAAACAGTAGTTAAAACAGGAACCATATGGCACACACTGCCTAAAATATTTACCATCCGGCCTTTACAGAAAAAAGTGTGCTAGTCTTTATTATAGCACAAGCTAAAGTTAGAATTTCTGGTTCTACCACTTACTAGCTGTGTGATATATAGGAAAGTTATTTAACCTCTCTGTGCATCATTTTCATAAAATGGGAATTAAAAATAAACTCTGTTACAGCTATTGTTTTAATTAAATACAGTTGACCCTTGAAACTGCTCAGATCCACTTGTATGCAGATTTTTTATTTTTGGAGGTTTGTAACAATTAAAAAAACCCAGAGGGCTGGGATTGTGGCTCAGTGATAGAGTGCTCGCTTAGCACGGGCAGGACCCGGGTTTGATTCTCAGCACCACATAAAAATAAATAAATAAATAAATAAATAAATAAATAAAGCCCCCCTCTCCTTAAAAAAATAAATAAAAACCCACAGATGAACCACATAGCCTAGAAATATTGTAAAAAATATTTTTTAAAGTTAGTTCTGTTATGAATGCATTAAAGGTACATAGGATAGTCTATTATCATTTACTACCATAAAATATATACAAATTTATTCTAAAAAGTCAAAATTCATCCAAATGTACACACACTTACAGACCCTATACATAGCACCATTTGTAGTCATGAAAAACGTTAAAAATGTAAAGATACAGTATTAAGTCATAATTGCTTAAAATTAACTGTAGTATATATGACTGTAATACATTTCATAACCACCTCTTGTTGCTGATGAGGTGAGCTTAAGTGTTGTGAATATCCACTTAAAACCCTGTAGCCCTGTTCAGTTCCTCTTCTCAGTAAATTGTATCTCTCAGTAAAAAATGGTCTTTCATTGGTTCTAGTGTATATTTCACCATATATGATACACATACAAATTTGTGTTAATCAATTATTTATGTGATTAGTAAGACTTTAGGTCAACAACAGGCTACTAGTAATTAAGGCTTTTTTTTTTTTTTAGTAGCAGGGATTGAACCAAGAGGTACTTAAATCACCGAGCCACATCCATAGCCTTTTTAATATTTTATTTAGAGACAGTGTCTCACTAAATTGCTTAGGGCCTCCCTAAGTTACCAAGGCTGGCTTTGAACTTGGGATCCTCCTGCCTTAGCCTCCCCAGCCACTGGGATTACAGGTGTGTACCACATGCATAGCAGTAGTTAAGTTTTTGAGGAGTCAAAAGTTATGTGGATTTTTTATTACATGGGATCAATGCCCTTAACCTCTGCCATTGTTCAGGGTTAATTGTATATTAATGTATGTCAAGTATTTAGAAAGACTTAGGCAAACAGTAAGTCTAAAACTGTTTTCTTGAGGTTGTATTGATGTGCAGTTTTACTGGTGGTATATTCATATATGAACAGAGGAAAGTATGTCTGATTCATTCTACTGTCTTTCCTGCTTGTTATTATTATCATTATTAAGTTTAAGGAACCAAAGTTGAGTGTTACATAAATACTAAGTCTAAAGAATTGTTTACTGTTTCATTATTAGCAAGTCTGAGTAACCAAAGTGACGAGAGTAAGGAAGATGGGGGATTGGGATAAGGCTGGAGAGCTAAACATGGGCCAAATTAATTTTTTGTAGGCCATATTAGAACTTTAGGAGTTAATGCTAACTCCTTTTATGAATGAAAGGCTTTCTACATGAGGTTTTAAATTGGCAACTAACATCACCAAAGTGGCATGTTTTCTTCTGGGAGAAAAAAATGTCTACAATACCTCTTTTAAATTCATGAGCAAGTTATTATTTAACACAGCAAATTTTTATAATTTGTTATATATTTTTGTGTACATTCCTGAAAGTAATGACTTTCAAATTATACTTTGAATAAGGTGAAGTTGGTTCAAGTAATTTGCATTTTACAAGTGAATACAATGAATTGCCTAATTAAGATTACAGATAGGGAACAAAACTTGCTGAAAACAAACTTTCATGCAAATTATTCTCAGTTTCCCACATGGTGGGATTGCCTTTGGTTAAACTAGGAACTAATGTCCTCTGATCACTATTTTCATTTCCACTATTTTAGAGTAACCATATAACTTATTGTCTAATCTGGGAAATTTCTGAGCATAAAAGAAAGCACTATTGAAAGTACCCCAATACAACAGGCATAGCCTTATACTACTGAACATAATTTCCCAGACATTTGTCAGAAGAAGATGATACCTCAAAAGATTGCTTGCTTTAGCATGTGTAAGGTCCTAGGTTTGATCTCTAGCACTAAATGAAATAAGAAGTTATTCTGATAGAGACATCATCAAATTTGCATTTTGAAGCCCATTCATGTGCTATCAACAACCAAAAATTTGGTGACAAAAAGGAGTTACATAATACTTGTGAAAAGTTGCTTTTGTAAGATTTAAAAATGCTTACCTCCATAACATCTTCCAAATTCTCTTCTGCATCTGCTTTCTCTGTCATCAGTTTGGCTGCTTTGAAATAAGTTTTCATAAGTAGATAACCCCTTTTAGCTCCATTCCAATATGACCGAGGAATTTCCACCAAGCCATACCCCAACAACAACACAAGAAGAAATAGACCCCATGTATTGGCAGCAGCTATTCCAATTGTCTGAAGTTGGTTCCTGAGAAAGAGAATAATAAAGCTATAATAAATACATCTTCCTACAAAAATGCAAAGTAACACTAACTAGTATTAAATACTTTTTCAGAAAACTGTCCTAAAAGATGGAAAAATTATTTATTTATATGTATTTATAAATATATATATTATATATTTATATATATATATATATTTTATATATATATATATCTTCAAATCCTGTTATTTTTTTCAGTCACAGCAAATAAGTCTATTTTAATGGAAAGATAAAACAACTATAAAAATGGACTTTAACATAAGAAACAATGTTTCAATTATAATCAAAATGAGAACCCATGATAATTCATGGCAAAAAAAAAAATGAACATTTTTCACAAACAAACATAATTTTCACCAGGTACTTTCTTATTTAATATTACCCAAGAGAAGGCTGAAAAAATTTCAAATTAACTTGTATCAAAGCCAAYCTACACAAATCCCAGGAACGTAACAGTGACACTTATCACTACTACTCTATTCCTAAATTTTCAGACCTGGCTTTTTGCATACATTACCCATCATAAAAACAAAATAGATTTCAATTTCATTGAAATATCTAAATCTAAAATAACTTTAAGGACAAATATGCTCTTAAACTACAATTAAAACAAAAGATACAAATATTTACAAGTTCTGGTGAGGAAAAAAAACAGCTATTTGTTCATTTATAAAATTTGAAGTCCTATCTAAAAATAATGTTATTAGGTGGGTACAGTGATTCATGCTGTAGTCCCAGAGACTTGGGAGGCTGAAACAAATGGATCACAAGTTCAAGGCTAGCTCAGAAAATTAGTGAAGCCCTAAGCAACTTAGTAAGACCCTGTCTCAAAATGAAAACTAAAATGTTCTGGGGAYATAATTCAGTGTTAAAGCACCCCTGGATTCAATCCACAGTACCAAAAAATAAAAACAATGTTATTACTTTTAATATATAGCTATTAGTCAAAGCATTAATCTACCACTTACTGGTTACATTTAAAGATGCTATTCCACATTTTCTTTCTTAGTAATAGAGACTATTCAAATATTCTTTTGGGGGAATTAATAAAAAAAATTAGGAATATTTCTTGAGAAATGACCTGTATATATGAGATAAAAATTGATTTTTAAAAGTGCAAACATTCACAGAACATTAAGAACACTACTTTTCTTACCATTCTAAATGTAAACGTGGGTTTACAGCTACATAAATTAAAAATGCCCCAAAAATCAGCAAATAGGTGCCATAATAGATTGCATTCTCAATCAGTGCAGTTTTTATTTTTCCAGTGATAGAAAACCCTCCAGATCTTGCATATGACTGCATGAAAGGTAAGAGAATCCTAGATGGAGGGAAAATATAATAAAAAACAAAACAATTATATATCTATATAATTTCAAAACAGAAGAAATACATAAATCTCAAATTTAATATGCAATTCTCAGTAATAAATACAGTTATGAGTAGTTACATGTTAATACTGAATAAACATTATTAGATGACTGTTTATTTTTGTAATATTAAACTTGACAGAAAGCAAGTGCCCTAAGGCAAGAAAGAGTACTTCCTAGGAGAAAACGAGGCCACAATGACCAGCAAAAAGTACAAAAGTGTTAAATGACTTCAGATGAGTCTAAAAATAGACCTTTAAAGCCTTTATGCAGAGTTTGGACTATACCCAAAGAATGAGAAACATTTTCTTTAATAGTAAGAAAGGTATGATCAAATTTAAATTTTCTATGACTTCACCCAGGATAATGGATGGAGAGGAAACAAAACCAGAACTAACTGAGTGTGACAAGGATAGAAGTAATAAGAAGCAGAAGAGGAAAAGACTGGTTGTCAACCTACTGATTCTAAAGTACCTAGAAGATATCCAAGGGAGACTTCAAGAGGAGGAAGTAGTTGGCTATCCAACTTTAGAGTTCAGAAGAGAGTACTTAGAAATGTCAACTTTTAAGGAAGAAGTAAAGAAAAAGGGGAAAAAATCAGAGGAGACTGAGATATAACAATAGAGGGTCAAGGAAAAAATTCAAGGAGCAAGTTAAACAAAAACCAGAGAAGGAAGTATTTGAAAGTGGAAACATAAAACAATAGAATAAAATGCTGCCAAGAGGTCCAGTAAACTGATGACCTCTATGTGTGAGTGGAGGTTTGGGTGTAAAAAAATGGGTACACGGGTTGAGGAATAAGTAAATAATGAATAAATGGAGATGTCAAATGATAGTTCATTTAAGAAGTTTGGCTAAGTAAGATAAATCATGGTATGTACATAAAATGAAATCTTTTATAGAAATGAAAAAGAACAGAACACTAATACATACAACGTAATGTTGATGAATCTTCCAAATATGTAAGCAAAAAAGAAATGCAAAAATATCCATACCATACAACTAATGTTTATAAGGTTCACAAACAGGCAAAGCTAATCTATGGTGATGCAAGACAGAATAATGGTTATGGGGCTGGGGTTGTGGCTCAGTGGCCGGGCACTTGCCTAGCATGTGTGAGGCACTGGGTTTGATTCTCAGCACAATAAATAAATAAATAAATAAATAAATAATTTTTTTTTTTTTTTTAAAGAATCATGGTGACCTCTGTGGTTAGTGGATGACTGGGGTAACATGAGAGAGGCATCTTGGGGCATTGTTCATGTCCTGAATCACCATTATCTGAGTGTTGGTGTATAGATGCATTCATTTTGAAAAAAAAGTCAAACTAAACAGAATATGCATTTTTTTCAGTATAAGTTTACACTTAAATTTTTTAAAAAGTCTCCAAAAATTTTAGTCATGATAAGATCAACAAGGTGGAGACTGGAAAGGGATTCGAGGTAAAAGACTTTTTGCTTGTTGTGCCAAAACTGGAAATTATAAATAGGTAACAAGAGGTGAATGGGGTGAGTCCACAATTTAACGAGAGGGGTTAGCTTAACAAGAATGACTCTTCTGTCCTTGGAAGAAAGTTTGTTAGTGAGAAGCTAAAAGAACTGCCATCTGATGACTTCTATTTTCACTGTGAGGTTGACAGAAAGTAAAGTCCTATGCTAAGAGTAAGTGTGACTTTTAGGGAATGAGTAGAAGACAGCAACTAAGAGGACAGAAGTTTGGAGTGACTGGAAATATTTTTTTTGATTCTTTTTTTTTATTATTAGTTGTTCAAAACATTACAAAGCTCTTGACATATCATATTTCATACATTTGATTTAAACAGATTATGAACTCCCATTTTTACCCTGTATACATATTGCAGATTCACATCAGTTCCACATCCACTTTTTTACATACTGCCATACTAGTGTCTGTTGTATTCTGCTGCCCTTCCTATCCTCTACTATCCCCCCTCCTCTCCCCTCCCCTCTCTCTACCCCATCTACTGTAATTCATTTCTCTCTCTTGTTTTTTCCCCTTTCCCCT